ACCAAGGGAGTAAAGGAGTAAGCAGAGATGGGAAAGCAAAGTTTAAGCCTTGAGCACTAAGGCCACACCAGTGCTAACAGTTTTCAGGGAAGAGGAGGAACAGAACTGTGGGTATTTTGGCTAGGTGAGGTGGCTCATGACTGTAATCCCAGCACTTTGGGAGGCCAAGGTGGGTGGATCACCTGAGTTCAGGAGTTCGAGACCAATCTAGCCAATATGGCGAAACCTCATCTCTAATAAAAATGCAAAAATTAGCTGGGCATGGTGGTGGACACTGTAATCCAGCTACTCAGGAGGCTGAGGCAGGAAAATCGCTTGAACCTGGGAGGTGGAGGTTGCAGTGAGCCGAGATCACGCCACTGCACTCTAGCCTGTGCAACAGAGACTGTGTTTCAAAAAAAAAAGAATTACGGGTATTTTGACTTTGCTTCTCAAACTAGGCCTTTATTGATGGGTCTTTCACTTATCAGATAATACTTTATCCTCTTAAGAGGTATACCATATTAAGGAACTAATTATTATTGGTTTAAGCCTAATCTCCTGGGGTAATAATAATTGCTACACTTTATCACACCATGTGCCTGGCATGGTGCTGGCACTTCATCTATGATTTCATTTAATCCTTGTAATAACTGCATGACATTTTCCCCCTTTTTTTTTTTGAGACGGAGTCTCACTCTGTCGCCAGGCTGCAGTACAGTGGCACGATCTCGGCTCACTACAACCTCCGCCTCCCCGGTTCAATCAATTCTCCCACCTGAGCCTCCTGAGTAGCTGGGACAACAGGCATGTGCCACCACACCCAGCTAATTTTTGTATTTTTAGTAGAGACAGGGTATCACCATGTTGGCCAGGATGGTCTCGATCTCTTGACCTTATGACCCACCCGCCTCAGCCTCCCAAAGTGCTGGATTACAGGTATGAGCCACCGTTTTTGTTTGTTTGTTTGTTTGTTTGTTTGTTTTGAGATGGAGTCTTGCTCTTTCACCCAGGCTGAAAGATCTCAGCTCACCGCAACCTCTGCCTCCACCTTCAGGGTTCAAGCAATTTTCCTGCCTCAGCCTCCCTAGTAGCTGAGATTACAGGCTCACACCACCACGCCCAGCTAATTTTTTTGGTAGTTTTAGTAGAGACAGTGTTTCAGCATCTTGGCCAGGCTAGTCCCGAACTCCTGACCTCAGGTGATCCACCTGCCTCAGCTTCCCAAAGTGCTGAGACTACAGGCATGAGCCACCGAGCCCAGCCTCCCCTTTTGTAGTTAAGGAAACCCGAGCCCAGAAAGGTTAAGTAACTTGCCATAGCTGAAAAGTGAAGGCTGAAGAAATGTAACAATTAGATGTGTTCTTCCCCATATTTCCTCTCTTTTCTAGCTTTAGTGAAGATGTTAGAACCTGAGGTGCTACAAGGTTGTAGCTAAAGTGTATCCTTGCTGGGTGTGTCGTCTTAATTACTCAGGAGACTGATGTGGGAGGATGGCTTGTGCGCAGTAGTTCCTGGCCAGCCTGGGCAACATATTGAGACTGTCTCTATATAAAAACAAAAATCCAGGCACAGTGGCTCACACCTGTAATCCCAACACTTTGGGAGGCCAAGGTAGGAGGATTGCTTGAGCCCAGGAGTTCCAGACCAGCCTGGGAAACATAAGGAGATGCCATTTCTACAAAAAATTTAAAACTTGCCCAATGTGGTGGCACACAACTGTGGTCCCAGCCACTCAGGAGGCTAAAGTAGGAGGATCACTTAAGCCCAGGAGGTCAAGGCTGCAGTGAGCCACTGTACTGCAGCCTAGGTGACAGAGTAAGACCCTGACTCAAAAAACAAAGAAGGCTGGGCATGGTGGCTAACGCCTGTAATCCCAGCACTTTGGGAGGCCAAGGCGGGTGGATTGCCTGAGGTCGGGAGTTCGAGACAAGCCTGACCAACATGGAGAAACCCCATCTCTACTAAAAATACAAAAATAGCCAGGCGTGGTGGTGCATGCCTGTAATCCCAGCCACTCGGGAGGCTGAGGCAAGAAAGTCGCTTGAACCCGGGAGGCGGCGGTTGTGGTGAGCTGAGATCGCACCATTGCACTCCAGCCTGGGCAACAAGAGCAAAACTCCGTCTCAAAAAAAAAAAAAAAAAGGTGGATTAAAACAAAGTTTTAAGTAATAACCTAAGATGTTTTAGTAAGTAGCCACCTTGATTTGGTCTATGAGAATGTCTTAGGCACAAGTGTTAGCAAGAAATATATGAGATATATGGCCACTTGCTTAGCTAAGTAGATGTAATACTTCCAGATGATAGTGGTACTATCTCGTGGAACTGATGTGCTTAACAGGAATAGTAAGATTCTGGAAGAAATCCTGAGGTCAACATGGAGACTGTCAAGAACTAGTTAGGTAGAAAACTTTAAATTTGGTCGGGCGTGGTGGCTCACGCCTGTAATCCCAGCACTTTGGGAGGCCAAGGTGGGTGGATGCAGATCACAAGGTCAGGAGATTGAGACCATCCTGGCTAACATGGTGAAACCCCATCTCTACTAAAAATACAAAAATTAGGCCGGGTGCAGTGGCGCACACCTATAATCCCAGCACTTTGGGAGGCTGAGGCGGGCGGATCACTTGAGATCAGGAGTTCGAGATCAGCCTGGCCAACATGGTGAAACCGCGTCTCTACTAAAAATACAAAAATTGGCTGGGTGCAGTGGCTCACACCTAAAATCCCAGCACTTTGGGAGGCCGAGGTGGGTGGATCACAAGGTTGAGAGATCGAGACCATCCTGGCCAACACGGTGAAACCCCTTCTCTACTGAAAATAAAAAAATTAGCTAGGCGTGGTGGTGCATGCCTGTAGTCTCAGCTACTCGGGAGGCTGAGGCAGGAGAATCGCTTGAACCTGGGAGGTGGAGGTTGCAGTGAGCTGAGATAGTACCACTGCACTCCAGACTGGGTGACAGAGCAAGACTTTGTCTCAAAAAAACAAAACAAAAAACTGGCCAGGCACGGTCGCTCATACCTGTAATCCCAGCACTTTGGGAGTCTGAGATGGGTGAATCACGAGGTCAGGAGTTCGAGACCAGTCTGACCAACATAGGGAAACACCATCTCTACTAAAAATACAAAAATTACAAAAATTAGCCAGACGTGGTGGTGCACACCCAGCTACTCTGGAGGCTGAGGCAGAAAATTGCTTGACCCCGGGAGGCGGAGGTTGCAGTGAGCTAAGATCGCACCACTGCACTCCAGCCTGGGCGACAGAGCGAAACTCCGTCTCAAAAAAA